TTGGGGTCTCCTGGGGGCCGTCTTGGGGCCCCCAGGAGACCCCCTGTTTTGGGCCTCCTTAGGGGCCGTCTTGGGGCCCTCTGGCACCGTCTTGGGCGCCTCTTGGACCGACCGTCTTGGGGCGGTTTCAGGCAGTTTTGGGGCGCTCTTTGAGGCCCCTCGGGCCGTCTTGGGGTAGTCATGGGGGATTGTTGGGCCGTCTCAGAGCGTCGGAAAAAAGACAAGGCGAGAACGCCAAACTTCTTCAAACACCTGAGGGCGATCAATGATGTTTGTCTCTTGTGACCCTCTTCGGAGGCTTCTCGGAGGCTCATTGGGGCGTCTTGTAGGCCTCTTGGGCCATCTTGAGACAATCTCGGGTGTCTTGGGGTGATCTTTCGGTGTATCGGGACTCTCTTGGACCGTCGTGAGGGCCTCGTAGGGATCCCCTGTCCCGTCTTCGGGTCCTTTAGGGTTCAGCCAATTCACGCGCCACCACGTGGGGCAGCCCAGGCGTTACGTGGGAAGCACGAGGAGAATGCGCAATTTCGGGTCCGGGCCCGTCAAAGACCCTCACTCAGGAGTGAGGATTGAGATTTGCAGGATGAGGGAAAGGACCTGAGGGCACGCCCTCTTCGTTCCCCTATGCACGGTGGCGGATTCCTCCAGCTACCTTCCTCTCCGCTTCGTGGCCTTTCTGATTGAGTCTTACCTCGACAGGTGGCCGCGGTTAGATAGAACGATGCCCAGCGTTTGAAGGAACAGCGACCTGAGCCGCATCCTCCTCCCTGTCCTCATCCACCCCTCCGGCTTCCTCCCTCCTCCCCTCCCCTCCCGCCGCGGGGAGGACGAGGCGAGGAAGGACGAGCAGCAGCAGCAGGAGCCGAGCGCACACCCATCCACTTACATTCCACGAGTGCCCCGTTCCAGAACCATCCTTTGGACGCGCCTTCGAAAGCGACTGTCCGCCGTTGATGCTGCAACGGCTCGATTCACTGCTGGGATTCCGTGCTGCTCGGGGGGGTCGGCGGAGGGGGAGCGTGGCGAAAGATGCCTTTGGTCGCGGCGTTGCTCCTCCTGCCCACTCCCCCGCCTTCTCCCGGCACGCTGCAGCTCCAGCGCATCAGCCTCCGACACGCCCAGATTTCGACCGCATCTTTGAGGCATGTGATTATTGTCAGAGTGATGGGGGCAGATCGGTCATTCATTGTCCCTGGGTGCGGGGCTGAAGTGGGGATCCGTGGTGAGGGTTATGCTTGTTGCGTTGTTGCGTTGTAGCGTTGTAGCGTTGTTAGTGTTGCTGTTGATGTTGCTGGTGGTGTTGTTGTCGTTGCTGTTAGTGTTGCTGTTGCTGTTGCTGTTGTTGTTGGTGTTGCTGGTGTTGCTGTTGCTGCTGCTGTTGCTGTTGCTGTTGCTGTTGCTGTTGCTGTTGTTGTTGTTGTTGTTGTTGTTGTTGTTGTTGTTGTTGTTGTTGAACTCTCATTCTTGAAGAATAATTATTGTTGATCCCCCCCCACCGGTGCACATTTATTTTTTTCGATTGAAGTGCCACCCCCGGGGCTCGCACCTTGTTTTTTCTCAAGGAAAGTCTTCCTGCTCAAACTGTGCCCCTGCCCCCCGGGCTACAACAACAACGGCTCCCGCCTGAGACTTCCTCGATTTTTACTCAGGACCCCCGCTCCCGCCTGAGACTTCCGCGCAATTTACTCAGGAAAGGCGCTCCCGTCTGAGACTTCCTCGCAATGTAATCAAGACCCCCGCTCCCGCCTGAGACTTCCGTGCAATTTACGTGGGAACGGCGCTCCCGCATGAGACTTCTTTGAATTTTACTGAGGACCCCCGCTCCTGCCTGACATTTCCGCGCAATTGACTCAGGAACGGCGCTCCCGCTTGAGATTTCCTCGCAATTTAGTGAGGACCCCCGCTCCCGCCTGAGACTTCCGTGCAATTTGCTAAGGAACGGCGCTCCCGCTTGAGACTTCCTGGCAACTTAGTCAGGGCCCCCGCTTCCGCCTGAGATTTCCTCACAATGTACTCAGGACTGCGCTCTCGCGTGCGACGTCCTCACAAATTATTCTGGAATTGCGTTTCGGCGCTCAGGAACCACGCACGCGCCAAGGACGCCTTCACAACGTGGTATCTTCCCTCTTCCTTCGTCCTTCCCCCTCCCCTTCCTCCCACTCTCCCTCGTTCTTCCCCTCCTCCTCTTGCAGGGCCCGCGCCAATTCCAATGGCGGGCAGAGAGATGTACGCCCCCGAAGGATTGTCCGCCCGTTCCGGTTTGCCCGTACGTCTAAGCCCGCCGGCCCCAGCAAAGAGAAATAATCCCCCCGAAAGGGGTGTGATCGAAGACGAAGAGGGCGGGTATCGAGGGTGTAGGGTATACGTGTTGAATGACTCGCGGGCAAGTAAGAGCGTACAGCCTTAAAATTGTTGTTGTTGTTGTTGTTGTTGTTGTTGTTGTTGTTGTTGTTGTTGTTTATGTCGGTGTTGTTGCTGCTGTTGTTGTGGTTGTTGTTGGCGTTGTGGTTGTTGTTGTTGGTGATGGTGTTGTTGTTGTTGTTGCTGTTGTTGTCGTTGTTGTTGTTGTAGTTGTTGTTGTTGTTGGTGTTGTTGGTGGTGTTGTTGTTGTGATTGGTGTTGTTGTCGTTGGTGGTGTTGGTGGTGTTGTTGTTGTTGTTGTTGTTGTTGTTGTTGCTGATGTTGCTGTTGTTCTTGTTGTTGTTGTTGGTGGTGTCGTTGTTGTTATTGGTGTTGTTGTTGGTGGTGGTGTTGGTGTTGTTGTTGTTGTTGATGTTGTTGTTGTTCTTGTTGTTGTTGTTGTTGTTGTTGTTGTTGTTGTTGTTGTTGTTGTTGTTGTTGTTGAATTTTCACTTCTGAAGAATACTTGTTGTTGATCCCCCCACCGGTGCATACTGTTTTTTCTCGATCAAAGTGTGCCCCTCGACGCTCGCACCTTGTTTTTTGACAGGGAAAGTCTTCCTGCTCAAACTGGGCCCCTGGCCCCCGGGTTACAACAACAACGGCTCCCGCCTGAGACTTCTTTACAATTTAGCTAGGACCCCCGCTCCCGCCCGAGACTTCCTCCATTTTATTCAGGAATGGCGCTCTCGCTTGCTTGGGACTTCCTGACAACTTATTAAAGAATCGCTCTCCCGGCGCTCTGGAGTCGCGCTCTCGCTGGAGACCTGCTCGAAACTTACTGAAGAAAGGCCTTGCGTTGGAATTTTCTGCGATTTGCCCAAGCGCCGCGCTCCCGACACCCAGGCACCCAGGAGTCGCGCCCGTTGTGGCCCCATGTGCATGCCCTTCGTGGCCCCGCTGTCGCCACTTGTCCCCCTCACTGTCCTACGTGGCCCAGTTGCTACCCTCCGTGGCCCCATAGTTGCCTTCTGTGGCCCCGCATTATCTGCACTTCGTGGCCCACGCTCGTTCGCGCTCTTCGTGGCCCCATACGCAGTCCCTTCGTGTCCCCGCTGTCGCCCTTCGTGGCCTACTTCGTGCCCTTTGTGGCCCTGCTGTCGTTCTCTTTCGCTCTCGCTTTCGCTCGTCGTCGCCGTCGTCGTCGTCGTGGTCGGTCCCCTGTCCGTCCCTCTTGGGGTCGGGTCGACGGTCCGCGGCCGCCCCGCCGATCAGCGCTGCCGCTGGCCAGGCCGACTGTCCGCGGCCGCCCCGCCGCTTGCCGGGGCCTGGCCTGCAGGGAAGAAAGGTATACCCCCAAAAGGGGTTCGATCGAAGACGAAGAGGGCGGGTATCGAGGATTTGGGAACTACGCGTTAATGGACACTCGAGCATGTAAGGGCGAACAGTATTAAAATTATTGCTGCTGTTGTTGTTGACGATGATGATGATGATGATGATGTTGTTGTTGTTGTTGTTATTATTATTGTTGTTGTTTGTTGTCGTCCTTCCCACCCGCGACCCACCCCGCGACCCACCCCGCGACCCATCCCGCGACCCACCCCGCGACCCACCCCGCGACCCACGTCGCGACCACGTCGCGACCCACCCGCGACCGAACCCGCGACCCACCCGCGACACACCCCGCGACCCACCCGCGACACACCCCGCGACCCACCCGCGACCCGTCGCGCGACCCGCCCGCGACCCGCCACGCGACCCACCCGCGACCCACTTGCGACTCACCCCGCGACCCACCCCGCGACCCACCCCGCGACCCACCCGCGACCCACCCGCGTCCCGCCCGCGACCCATCCGCGACCCACCCGCGACACATCGGCGACCCACCCGCGACGCGCAAACAATAGTTTAACGAACAAAATCGGCGCCTGCGGCGGGCTCGTTGTATAATATGTAAAAATTTCGCGCCTGCGGCGGACTTCTCCAGGAGTCTCGCAGACTGCCGACGTCCGCGCCGCCCCCTGACTCTTATCCGCATCTGAGGGGTGCTACGCGGTAGGCATGCCTAGAGCCTTGCACGACCGCCAGTGCAGACTCCCAGGAGGTTCAATTTAGCATCGGCATCGGCGCTTGTATATCCGTGGTCGGGAGCCGGCTCTAATCTCTCTCAGTGGCCCTGGATCGGGTTTCATCGCCTTTCCTCTTTGTTGCGAAGTCCTCCCGGAAGTTGCTTCCTGACCCCGTGTATCACCACCTACCAAACCACCCCAACCCAACCCGAAGGCTTCAATTTGCCCTCCATTTCCAGTGGGGGGGGCGGGGTCGGGCAACATGGAAAAAACACATGGAACCCATAATTACCCCCCCAACCCGAAGTTCGGGTCAAATTCGGGTCTTCGGGTCGGGTTGGGGTGGTCTGGTCGGTAGTCCGTGTAGGCGTCCGTTCCTGGACTCCCGCCGCGAGCCGGAGGCGCCTCCAAGGCACGGCGCGGTGCGACGACTGGCGCGAGGCCGCCCAGACGCCCGTGGCTCGCGGATCACCCGACGCGCTCCTCGCCCAGCACACGGCGCGCCAGGGCTGTGCTGTCCATGGCCGCCTCGGCTCGAGGGCACCCTGGGCACGGCCCGCGCTGGCACACTCCCGCAGCGGACGCCAGACGATGCAGGCCGCCGCGCCGCTCAATTGTCCCCACGGCGAGTGGAACGCCCCGGGCTCCCCTGGCGGCCGGGCGGCCAGCCTGCCGCCCGGCACGTCGCAGGAGGAGGCGGCCGCGCAGTGGCAGCAGGCGCTCGTCGGCGTGCTCTCGGCCGCCGGCGCCGTGGGCCAGGGGGACTTCCAGGGCGCGAGGGGCGCGCTTGCAGCCGTGCTGCTGTCGAGCACCGCGGGCCTGGCCCCCGACCCGCGGGCCGGCATGGCCTGCTCGTTGGGTGTGGCCGCCGCGTACCGCGTGATGGCGCTGGCGTTTGCGTACGACCGGAGGCAGGGCCCATTCCCATCTGACCTGTCCGATTTGGCCTCGGCGTCGGCCGTCGCGATCCGATCCGATGATGATCGCGCAGCGCTGTCGCGTATCGTGGCGTAGCCCATCCGATTCGATGTCGTCTCCGTGCCGATGCAGTCCGACTCGACGCAAATTCCGAGGCGATCTGCTTTCCCAATGTCGAATGTTGCCTGATCCTGCCGGAGGCTGGTGGCCGGGAGCTGGGCGTTCAGGCGTGCCTACCAGATTGCCCTGAGGTTCCAGCACCTGGCGATGATCTGGGTCACGCACGTCTGGGAGAAGTTTGCCCGGAGGGAGGTGCCCGGCACTGCCGGGGTGGGCCAATACCGACTACACGTCAGAGTGACTTTTCGCCGGAGTACCCTTTCGTGCGGGTCCAATAGGGTCCCCCGATCGCAGAACGCGATGCGGTGGTTGCGTCTTGCGCGCGTGTTTCGTCCCCCCGCGGCCCCCAAAGAGCCGCGCACCAAAGGTCACTCTTACCCAGGGTCACTCTTGCGTGTAGTCGACAATACCATCGGGAGTACATTGACGAGTCCGCGTGGCCGATCTCTCTTCAGGAGATCAACGTGGAGATGACCGTGGTGCAGAACTCACTTCGCGATTCCGGGCGTGAGCAGGGTCACAAACCTCGCTGGTTGGAAGTGCCGCATGACTTTCGAGACCCAAACTTGCGAATCGGAATCGTGAGTCTGTGTGCGTACCCGAGCGACCATGTACTGCCCAGGTACGCGACCTCCAATCACATGATCTATGCAAAGCAGCACGGTTACAAGTATCATGTGAGTCAAGAGCGGCTTGATGATGGCCGCCCCCCTGCGTGGGGGAAAATTCGTTTGATGTCACAGGTAATCCAGCGCACTGATGCAGATTGGTGGTTGTGGTTCGATTGCGACACCTATAGAAGACGCATACGGCGAATCACCGCCGCCCCCTGCCTTCTCGAAACGCCCATGTGGATAAAAATTGTGCCCAAGTCTGGCCAATACAGATATGTGCATATATATATATATACATATATATATATATATATATATATATATGGATTACACCAGAGGAAAACCCAAATCAGTCGATGGTTTTCGCTGACAAGATCGACCGGGAGCCCGGGAACCCAAAACCCACCGAAATCGGCCCGGAACCAAGATTTGGGAACCCGGGAACCCGGAACCGGGAACCCGAGAACCCAGCATGCTACCAACATCGGCGGGAAATGTTCGCCAAATCTTTCGGTTTCCGCTAGGACCCCTTCAGTGCAAGCACTGATTGGGGAATAGATATGCGTATATCTATATATATACATATATACACAAATACATATATATATATTATATATATATATATATTATGTATATATACTATATATATATATGTATGTAATATATATATATATATATATATATATATATATCGGAATACGTTTACCGCCAGTTGTTGGGAACACTTGCGGGAGTAAGAGAGAGAGAGAGAGAGAGAAGAGAAGGAGAAGGAGACGGAGTAGGAGCAGGACGAGGAGGAGGGGGAGGCCTCTTGGGGCCCTCTTTGGGCCTCGTGAGGGCTTCCTGGGGACCTGGTGAGAGCCTCTGAGGACTCTTTGGGGCCTCTTGTGCTGTCTTCGGTCTTTCTTGGCCTGTCTGACGCTTTCGAGGGCCGTCTTGCCGGCCTGTGCGGGGTTTATTTGGCCATTCAAGGACACTCTCGGTCCATCTTGGGGCCCTCTCGGGGGCTTCTTGGGCCTCTTTTGGAGGCTTCTGCGGCAGTCTTGGGCTGTCGGAAGCCTGATGAGGCGAAGTGATGTTGCTCTTTTCGGCCTCGTGGACGGCCTTTTGGAGCCCTCATGGGCATTACTGGGGCCCCTTGTGCGGTCTTGCGGCTTTCTGGGGCAGTCTTGGACGCATCGTGGACCAGCCTGCGGGCCTGTCGGGGCGATACTCGGCCCTCTCGGGGCCAGCTTGGCCGCGTTGGATGCCTCATCGATTCGTCTTGTCGGCCATCTTGGAGCCATCTTCGGAGAGATAGTCGATGGAGGCCCGGATTTGACGTGGCCCCTCGACTGTCCGTTGAGTACAGTCGGCCCTGACTAGTAAGTCGACCCTGCCAAATCTAGGGTACCCTTAGGTATCCTTGTGTCCTGTACCTCGCGACCCATGCCTCCTACATCCCCCATGGTAATGTGACTTTAAGGGTAGCTCTTCGGGAGATGTTATAGAGGATCGGGAGTATAGCCTGCGCGCCGTTGCCTGTGGCTCAAGGCACGCGCGCCCTATTTGCCCGGACACTGCTTGTGTTCGCTACGTGCTGGAAAGATCATTACATCGATCTTATCCCATCTTAGCCATCCACTCCCCATACTGAACTAACACAGCATGGAATTGGATGCTATTGGACTTACCCTCGTCATTTCAGACTTGGTAGCGGAGCTGGCCGCACTCTCGTGTGGTCAGCTCTTGCCCTTTTTATCCTCACGCTACCCGGCACGATCTTCGTGACCAACTACCACCCTGCGCCACCACTCCAACTACATGTACGAGGATCAATTCAAGAGCAAGAAGCAACACGAGAGGTACGACGTCTAGACAACAACATTGGTACCATATACGCTTCAGCACTACGCTATTACCAACCGCTCGGCAACGAGCCAAAAGCGCAGTACTTGAAGCAGAGGCGGGGAGACCCGCAAGATAAAGCGCCTCGTAGACTTGACAAGGCGCTACAAGCCCTACCCCAGCGCGGCAACGCGCCTGATAATCACCCATATCTTCACAGCCTTGGGTTGGTTATCTTCGCCAGTATATGGTTTGCGCTGGGGGCAGCAATCGGACACATGCGCCGAGGTGACAACAGCACAGATGGGCAAACACATGGCCCATACTGGGACCCTCAAGGCAACGTACCTTTCCGCGAATACGTTTATGAGGTCAACGCGTGGCTTAACGTCACAAGCGGACGCATGACGCCACAGGCCCGAGCAGCCGCCATACAACGCGGCCTGGGTGGCCTAGCGAGGACACTCGCCATGAGGGTACCACCTGACATTCTAAACTATGGTGCGGACACCGATGGTGTCCACACCGACCCATTAACATACATTATGTTCCTCTTAAGCATGAAGTTCGAACGCCTGGAAGATGAGCGCCGGCTCACTTCAGGCACTCAGCTCATCGACTTTCATGTGCCTCACGGAGAACGAATCGATGTAACCCTTACTCGGTTCGAGATGGCCCGTCTTGAGGCACAGTCGGTGGGGCTTGACCTTCCCAACTCCCAATTGCTCACTACTATCCTGTTCCGCGCCCTAGGCGTTGGTAACCAGCGAGCAATGCAACTCTTACAGCCACTCAACCACCAAATGCCCCGAACACAACAACAGTATGGTGAGTTGTGTGAGAGGATGCGTTCGATAGGCCATTTGCCAGAACGGTCTCCTGGCAACATAGGATCAGCATTTGGAAGGGGAAGGGGAAGGGGAACTGGCAGTGGAAATTTCTATACTACCTTAACCACTGAAGCTCAGCCTGGCAACGGGCCCTCAAACATATGGGCCGACAGTCCAGGATAATCTACGGCCCTACTAACAGGGGATCGATCGCAACCAAGCTGGGCAGCCAGCCCTCCTCCTAGAGAACCTCGACCACACCGTTCCCTGTGGGGTGAAGCGAATCTCCTAAACGACGGTGCACCCACCCACCTAGGCAACGACGACTTCGACTCCGGCACCGACACCGATACCATATCATCAGATGGTATCGAACCCCTAGATTGGTCAGATATCATGCAAATGGAAGGGGACAATCAGCGCGCCGAACACCTGTTCTGGCTATTACAACCGGCAAAGCGGAGGCGGAGGAGGTTCACACGAAAACCAGTGCGTCGTGTTAGGAGGAGGATACGGAGGAGCTTCAAAGGAAAAAGGTAAAGGCAAACGGGGTCGCCGAAGGTTGAATGGACGAGGCATCTCGGCTTTCCTCCAGAGGCAATCAGATGATCAGTATGATGAGATAGTTTTCGGGGGAAAAGGCCGTGGAAAAGGCCGTGGGGATACCTCAGGCAAAGGTAAAGGTAGGCGGGAAAACCCGCGAGGTAGAGACGGCCAGATCCTAAAGTGCCATGAGTGTGATAGTACCGATCATATTGTAAAGGATTGTCCAGCGAAGGGAAATGGAAAGGGTAGATCAACCGAAGTCCATTTCGGCTCAAGTGAACCAGCTATTGAATATCTGAGCCTCCAAGATTTCGAGGCTGTGGAACAGCTATTTTTCACTTGGGCTAGCAGTATGGACAACTTGGATGAGCTCGAGGCGTGCGGTCATGGACTGTGCGCGTACTACCTCGAGTACCTCCGCAGGTTTGTTCTCGGTAATCTCGAACTTACGCCTGTGGAGAACGGAACGCTGGGAAACCAGCCCCTTTCATTCTTCGACTGGATGTTCGGCAACCCAGGCAACATCATGGCCTACGAGAGCAGCGACGTGGAAGTCGCTGTTGAGGCCTCGCCGTCGGAGGTTGACTACAACCTTCGACGTCAACCCGACCTCATGCCTGGAAACAGGCCCACTCCAGTATATCCTCCAAATTATGGTGATCTGATGGAATGAGAGGCTCAAGCATTCACCTTGGGCGTGCCAGGAAACCCACACGTGCCGCCTGGCATGCTCGCGCCAGGCGAGTACGGACCGCACGCGATACTGCAGACTCTCATGCCGATGCACGCTGCCATGGTCGCAGCCTATCCCGAGAGTCAAGAGAGCGTCGAGAGTGGCCACATGATGCTACAAGACACCGATGCTTGTGACGACTCGGAGTTAGTGTTAGCGGCCCTTACTCTTATCGACAGCGTGCGCCCTGAGGACGTGCAGCGACATGTGGTATTCTAGAGGGAGATGGCGCCAAGCCCTTGAAAGGGCCATCTCCATGCGTGGACAGGCTCTCCCTCCGCCGGGATGGGGTCTCCGGGCGGCGGGACTACAGCCCAACCACACGGCCATGCGAAATGTTATCGGGCAGCCTTCATATGACTATGATCATCTCGAGGCGCGCGCTATGCTCGGTAACGAGCCTGAGCCGACTACCGCACCGCCGACGCCGGGGCAGCCAAGCGATGCTCAGACGCATATACAGCAGGGAGACCTGCCCGTCCCGGCTGGACCAATGACCATCGTCATTGGCAATCCTATGTCAGAAGATGAAGAAGGTGATGGATGTGGGATGTGCGAAGACGAGACCACCATCCTCATGATGGAAGTCAACGGTGAAGACGAGAAGGTGGACTTTAGCCCTGTCAGTCCTGACACGCCACC